GGTGATGGGGGCCCAGACCTCGCGCCGTAGACGATTTGCAGCGGGATGTGCTTTCTGCCCCAGAGAGGGGTCGAGATTTATGGTGGCCCACGGTGCGAACAGATCTCAGCGTCGGGTGTATGGGAAGGAATGGGAGGAGGAGGAGGAAGCAGGATCACCACGGTGAGAGGGGGAGGGAGAAGGCGAGGGAGAGACGTAAAGACGGTGGAAGCAGTACTTCTAAATCGTTTGGGTCGGTCCAAGGGCGGATCTGCGGCCCCATATTTGATTTCCTGGTACACACAATTATGTCGTCTTTGAGCCGTATCGTCCTCGCTTTATCTAGATGCTTCGAGTAATCACACCAGCACATCGAGAACCGATGCCCCGACGAGTTGCCATTATCAGGGATGTGGATGGAACAACGGGCTGAGTATGACGTCATACCTCAAGAGGGGGAGACGGAATCGGAGGAGCAGGATGAGGAGGAGGAGGAGGAGGATGAGGAGGAGGAGGAGGAGGAGGAGGAGGAGGAGGAGGGAGAGGGGACGGGGGAGGAGGGAGGAGGAAGGAGGAGAAACAGGCGGATGAGGAGGAGTAGGAGGAGGAGGAGCAGGAGGAGGAGGAGGAGGGCGAGCAGAAAGGCCAGAGGCCTCTTGGATCCCTCTCGGAGTCTCCTCGGATTTCTTCAGAGAGCTTCTTGGAGTCCCCTTGGGGGTTTCTTGGGGATCTCTTTGCAGTCCCGGGGGCCTCTTGGGGCGCCTTGGGTGGGAGCCTCTTCGGGCCTGTTGGGGGTCTCTTGGGAGCCTATTGAGGGCATCTTGAGGGCCTCTGGGGGCCTCCTGTGCACCTCTTGGGGCCTTCTTGGGGCACCCTTGGGAGCCTTGGGGGCCATCTTGGAGGAGATCGATCAAATGAGGGGCCGTAGGACATTCAGGTCCCGCCCCCAGGAGGCCAACATGTGGCCAACACCTTCGTAAAATCGATGTTTTCAGTCTTCTCGTCGTTGCCTCTTGGGGCACCCTCGGGAGCTCTGGGGGGCCTCTTGGGGCCTCTTGGGGGTCTCTTGGGAGCCTATCGGGAGCATCTTGGGGGCCTCGTGGCGGCCTCTTGGGGCCTCCTGGGCACCTCTTGGGGCCGTCTGGGGGGCACCCTTGGGAGCCTCAGGGGTCATCTCGGAGGAGATCGAGCACAGGTGGTGGGCTCCTTCAGTAGTAGTCGCCAACATGTGGCCATCACCTGCGTAAACTCAATGATGTTCGTCTTCTCGCCGGGGCCTCTGGGGGCGTCTTGGGTGCCTCGGGGGCCTGTTGGGGCGTCTTCGGGGTCTCTTGGGAGCCTCTTGGGCTCTTGGGGTCATCCTGGAGGTCTCTTGGGGGCCTCTTGTGTCCTCCTGGGTACCTCTTGGGGCCATCCTGGAGCACCCTTGGGAGCCTCAGGGGGCATCTTGGGGCCATTTGGAGGGGATCAATCAAAGGAGGTGGGCTCTTTAAGTAGGCCCCCCCCCCAGGAGGCCAAAATGTTGCCAACATTTTAGTAACATCGACGGTTGTGGCTTCCTCGCCGAGGCCATCCTGGACGCTCCAACGACCCTCGGAACGTCCCCTCCAGACCCAGGGGGAAGGGGTAGGGGGAGGGATCAAAACACCCTCCCCGCCCGCAAGCTGCCTCGCTCACTCCCATCCGCCCTCCTCACATGTAAGTAGCACCTGGACCTGAGCACGCTCAGCGGTTGCTTTCGGATGGACAGCTATCGGGAGCCAATGCAGGCCCCACGTGCGCCATGGGGCCAGGTGCGCCACGCGTGCCAGGCGCTCCAGGTGCGCCAGGCACCCCTGGGGCCCAAGCGTGCCAGGCACGCCTCGCTCGCCAGATGCGGCAGTCGTCCACGTGCGCCGTGCGTGCCGCACGGCCCGGCCGCGCCAGGTGAGCCACGTCGGGGGCACCCGCAAAGTTTGCCAGGTGCGCCCGCGCACGTGACAGCACACACATCACCACCCACCAATCCACCCCAACCCAACCCGAAGGCTCAGATTTACCCTCGATTTCTAGTGGGGGGGGGTCCGGGAACATCGAAAAAACACATATGGAGCCCATACCCCCCCCAACCCGAAAGTCGGGTCTTCGGGTTGGGTTGGGGTGGTCTGGTAGGTAGTCAACACAGGGATGCATGGCGGCAGGCCATCATGGTGTCTGGTGGGCCTGCACACAGCAGGCAATACGCCAGCACCCTCGCGGCAGTTGTCAAGCATGACCGGACAGTGATCGCGGGATGGCCACGCGTGGTCCAGATTCAGCCGCGAAGCACACGTTGCGTAGTTTTTTTGTGACAGGGACGGTGGCCTTGCGCAGAGCAGGCGCTATGAGGGCACTCCCGCCGTCCCCAGTAAAAAAAAAGTACAAAGTGCTCGCGGGGCCCACGAGCATGACCCAATATTTTGCCCCAGAGTTTGCTTTGTATTGCTTTTTACAGGGATGGGAAGGGGGGTCCGCATTGGTCCTGGTTGGCTGCCGGTCGCTTGGGAGAGGGGAGGGTTTAGTAATAGGGAACAGTGATAATCCCCTCCCCGAAGGGGAAGGGGGAATGTGGAAGAGGAAGCTCCCTGAACCACTCACGCCAAGAGGGCTGGTGGGATTCGGATGCAAATGCCAACTCCGCAGAGGTAGCTAAACATACATATTCTGTGAGATCGGGGAGAGGAGGGGGGCGAAAGGAGAAGGGCTTTTTCTTTTGTTCCCAACCATCCTGTGGTTTTGGGTCCTCGTTTTGACAAGACAGCGCCCCGCGTCTCATTTCTTCCCTCCCGCTGCCCCCCTCCTCCCTGCTCCCACCCCTTGCATCTGCCCTCCGCATGTCCATTTTGGTACACCCCTCACGCGTTTCGTGGCCCCAGGGGGGCTCCACCGAAGGCCCCAGAGGGAGCGTTCGCATGCGGGCGCCACGCCCGTTCCGGCACACCCCTCACGCGTTTCGTGCCCCCCTTGGGAGCTTCACCGCAAGCCCCAGAGGGAGCGTTCGCATTTGGGCGTCACGCCCGTTTCGGCACACCCCTCGCACGTTTCGTGGCCCCATAAGGGGGCTCCACCGCAAGCTCCAGAGGGAGCGTTCGCCTGTGGGCGTCCCGCCCGTCTCGGCGCACCCCTCACACGTTTCGTGGCCCCATAGGGAGCTCCACCGAAGGCCCCATAGGGATCTTTGCTCGTTTCGGCACTTTCATCACGCGTTTCGTGGCCCCGTCTGGTGCTTTGTCCAAGGCCCGAATGGCACTGTCTGCATGCGCCCCCCATTTCGGCATGCTCCTCGCGCGTTTCTTTGCCCATGAGGAATCCAGCGAAGACCATACTCACAGCTGTACTACTCACAGCTGCATATGGTTGGGTACTTCGCCAGTATACTTGTCTTGCTTCATCCCCTGCGTCGGAAGAGCAGACTCGGGCCGCTGGCCACAGACATCCCAAGTCCAGCGACGTCAGCGTTTTTCGGGCACGTACTTGCGCAATCGGACTGCGCTTCATGAGGCGAAAAGTTAGAGCAGTCATAAGCTTCTAGCTTGTCTACGACTGCCAAGGGTGCTCTCTAGTGACACATCGTCACACGTCTGTGTAACTCAAACATGGGGCCCAGGTAACAGGGGGTCTGGATGGCACTGAAGCGTCTGACGGCCCCGCGCGAAAGTGATTATGCTTTTTCGCCATCCGTTGCTTTGCATGCACGCAAGCGACCTCGGGACATGCTCCTCCTCCTCCTATACATGCCACAGACGGCAGACAGGCGTCTGGGAACTGTTCCGAGGACGTCGGCGGCTCCTTTGCGGCAGTCGTCGCGTCGAGGGTTGACGCGCCTAGTATGGCGTGCGCCGTCTGGTACTGCACGCGCGTTGCAGTTGCAATGCGCGCGGACGACATGTTGCAGGTGTGCTGCAGACGGGCAATCGCATATGTAACCATACCGCTACCTTTCCCTCGTTTTCCCCTTTTGGGGACTCCTGGGCCTCCGTCGTCGCCACCGCTGGATTTGCCTCGAAATCCTGGTTAGAACGTACACCAGGAGAGGTCCCGGGAGTAGCGGTATCGGTATCTTTTGGTGCCCCCATGTATTGCGCCAGAGAGTTGTGTTGGACTGTATTGCAGCTGTCGTGCCGCACGCAGGCATCCAGCAATACATTCTCGCCGCGGAACAGATTGCAAGCCCCACATCTATTGCAACCCTCCATGGTATTGCAATGTATTGCAGCTGGCGGGTTGCATTGCTGTGCTGTGGTGGCCGATTGCGGCACGACCGACCATATTCGACCTGATCTCATTTACATCCCCGACTCAGGCACCTGAGGCACCAAAGAGCGTCTTCCGATTCCGATGGCGGAATCCGAATTTTCTTTATAACGAATTGGCGGGCCATGACACCTCGATCTCGCATGGACTTTGAAGATCCGTACAATAACTCCTGGCGGTGCGAACTACCTTTGGTTACGCCGCCATGGGACAGCAGCGACTCAGACCCAAAGTCCAAAAGTACCCCCCTTTACAGTTGGACTCATGTTTTCTCGTGCCTAGAACACGGCACGCGCGAAGAACACATAATCTTATTCCAGAAACCTTGCTGGGGTTTGCCATCCGTCTACAGGAATTCGCAGTACACAGGGTAGTAAATTGCATTTGGTGGGTCGGCAATGTTCGGGCGGGGCTAGGACGACTCGAGAAATCCGCTCCAGAGCTTTCTGAAACGCTCTCAGCGCGTTGTGGAACGCTCTGAAAAGGCCGCGGCGCCCGAGACATCTTCCAGAGCCGCCCGATCTCAGAGATTTTCGATGTACCTTCACCCGATGTTGTCTTCGTCCGCGTTTCATCTTATAATCTTGTGCCCGAAGCAGTAGTCCTGTCGGGGCATACCATCAACCTACAAGAATCGGAGTACACAGGGCAGTAGACTGCACCTGGTGAGTCGGCACTGTATCGACGCCCCATCTTCCATGTTCTCCTCCTCGATCTCCATGCGCCCCTCCGTCGCTCCGCTCGCTGAGGCTCTTGGTTCAGCAAGCCGGCGCCGCCGTCGCTGCCCCTCGGCTTGTTCAGGCCCAAGGAGAGTTTGTCGCAGAATTTTCTTGCCGACCCCAACATCATCCACAACATGGTTCGCTCACGGCCGAGACGCTATGCTGGGGAAGTGGGTCTGTGTGAGCAGAAGACAGCTTTGGCCCTGGGAGTGTGGTTCGAGAGGCTGCCTGCATTATGCTCTTCGGTTTCCGTCGGAGCCTGCTGGCTCTCAGCAGTTGGCAGGGGCTTAAGACTGTGAATCTCACTTTGCTGGCCTTCATTCCCTGCATGCAGCGCCAGTGGGACAATCGTTCCACTCGCCCTCTCCCTCACTTGCCATTCTGTATCGGTTACTCCCCCTTGTATTTCACTTGCTCCTGCTCATCATTTCCCTCCCCTCCCCTTTTCCTTTCACCGAGAACACCGAAACACACGCACACACACAAATAGCTCTTGACGCCTCACACATGCCCCATAGCCCATCCAGCAACTATGGCCAGGCGAGTTGTATCGATCAGGAAGAGCGCGATCAGCCTGAGCAGGCCCAGGAGGTTCCATCAATGTTTTTGCGGATCTTTCGATACGGGAGCCTCTTGGCAGCGGGCCCTCTCGGGGCCATTCTCGAAGCCTCTGGGACCCTCCTGAGGGCATTTTCGAGGCCATCGAGCAGAGAAGTGGGGGGGACTGAGTACGGCCACCTCCGTGGGAGGCCGAACAGTCGCGTCATGGATGGGCTTCCTGGCTCCCTCAGCCCAAGCGCATCCCGGGATCCTGAGGAACCCATCGAAGTGGTGGAGGAAACAGTCGGGGAATGGATTATTTGGAATGATTCGGAATCCCAGGGGGTCCCAATTCCTGAGACAGCTTCCGGCTCGCGCCGACCCCCGAGACAGCACCCAGCGCGCGCCCCCCGAGACAGCTCCCGGCTCGCTCTTCGACCGGGATCTGCGAAGGCTGGGCCGGGCCGCAGCGCCGAAGGCCCCCCTCCTGCAAGCAGTGGCGAATCGTCCTGGCGTGCCTGTAGGCCAACCAAACAAGGTTCTAAGAACCTTTCTGGTGGTTTCCACGAAATGTTCTTAGAACATTTCTGGTTGGGGCTGTCTTGTTTTAACACATCGGCTTTATGTTCTAAGAACATTGGTCTTGTTCTTAGAGCGTTTCTGGGTTCTAAGAACATGTCGTGGTAGGCCTATAGGAATGCCGGGACGGTCGGTCCCTGCTCAGCTCCTGGGCGGGGCGAGCAGGCGGGTCGCGCACCTCACCATCTTCACCACCCGCCCCCCCCACCCCCTTTACAGCCAACCCTCATGATTAGCGAGGATGGGCAACCTCCCCAGGGCTATCCTTGCCATCCCTGCCTCCTCGGCCCATCCTCGGCCACTCTCGTGGACCGCGCCCCGCTCGGAGAGCTTCGAGACGGCCCTCCGACGGCCCGTGCCTCCCCGTCGCGCGTCCGGTTGCCTGCAGCCCTGCTCCGCCTCTGCCCCTTGCGCAGGCTCCGCCCCGCCTCTGGCCACCCCTCGGCCCGGGGGGGGGGAGGGGAGGAGGCAGAGGCCCTTCGCCCCCCCCATCCAAACACCTCCCTCCTTTCCCTCGCTTCCCAGCCTCCTTTCCCTCCCTCCTTTCCCTCCGTCTCTGTCCCTCGCTCCTTTCCCTCCCTCTTTTCCCTCCCTCCTTTCCTTTCCTCCTTTCCCTCCATTCCCTCCCTCCTTTCCCTCCCTCCTTTCTCTCCCTCCTTTCCCTCCCTCCTTTCCCTCCCTCTCCCTCCCTCCTTTCCCTCCCTCCTTTCCCTCCCTTTCCTCCCTCCTTTCCCTCCTCCCTCTGGCCCCATCCAGTCGAGCAGCGCGCGCCCCGTCGCTTCCCCCACACGCCCTGCCACTCCTCTTCCCCCGCGCGCCCCCCGACCTCCTGCTGGGGAGAAGGTGCGGGCGGTCGAGAACGACTCGCCAAACGGGCGCACCGTGGTGGAGCTCGGCCCCGGCACAGGTGACCGCCCTGTCGTACGACCGCTGTCGCGGCAGGAGCAGAGATAGCAAGAGGAGGGAGGAGGATCAGGAGTGGGATGGGGACGAGGAGAAGGGGGATGACGATGATGACGATGTTGACGACGATGATGACGATGACGATGACGATGACGATGACGATGACGATGACGATGACGATGATGTTGCTGATGATGATGAGGAGGAGGATGATGTAAGGAGGCTGACGCTGATGCGGATGATGATGCAGCTGATGATGATGGTGATGATGGTGATGATGATGTTGTTGCTGATGCTGATGCTGATAATGATGCTGATGATGGTGATGAGGACGAGGATGAGGGTGATTATGATGCTGGCTGATGATGGTTATGATAATGATGGTGATGGTGATGGTGACGATGATGACGACAATGTCAGTAACGATGACGACGATTGAATTCATAACGATGATGAGATTGGTCATGATGATCATGTTGAGCATGATGCTGATGCTGATGATGATGTCGATGTTGGCGATGGTGATGAGGATGAGGATGAGGTTGAGGATGATGATAAGGAGGATTATGATGACTGCGATTATAATGACGATATTGACGACGACGATGTCGATGATAATGACGATGATGATGACGACGATGACGATGATGACGGTGATGTTGATAACGGTGATGATGGTGATTTTGCTAATGTCGACGATGACGATGGTGATGATGATGATGATGATGATGATGCTAATGGTGATGGTGATGGTGAATGTGATGATGAGGATGATGATGATGATATGATGATGATGACGATGCTGATGACGATGACGATGATGATGACGACGACGATGAAGTTGATGACGATGATGCTGACGGTTGTGATAGTGATGGTGACGGTGATGATTGTGATAAGGATGAGAATGAGGTTGGAGATGAGGACGTGGAGCATGACGATGAAAGCGATTCAGATGATGACGTTTATGCCGATGTTGATGATGATGGTGGCGATGTTGATGATGCTGATGTTGATGATGATGGAGATGGTGATGATGCTGCTGATGATGGTGATGCTGATGCTGAAGGTGATGGTGAGAGCGAGTGTTACGATGATAATGTTGGTGATGGTGACGATGTTGCTGACGATGATGTTGATGATGCCGATGATTTTGATGGTGATGATGGTGATGATGATGCAGATGAGGACGCCGATGGCGATGACGATGACAATGATCATTGCGATGATGCTGACGATGATGATGATGATGCTGATGATGATGATGATGAGGATGCTAATGATGATGATGATGATGATGCTGGTGATGGTTGTGATGGTGATGGTGATGTTGAGGGTGATTGAGGCGGTGGTGGTTGTGGTGGTGCCGATGAGTATGATGCTGATGATGCTGATGGTGACGGTTGTGATGATGATCATGAGGATGGTGGTGTTGATGATGATGTGATGACAATTGTGGTGTTGCTGATGATCATGATGAACATGCTGTTGTTGACGATGATGATGATGATGATGATGATGATGCTGATGATGATACCGATGATGATGGTGAGGCTGACGATGATGATGATGGTAGGGATCGTAGCGTTGATGTTGCTGATGCTGATTACAGTGATGATGATGCTGATGCTGATGCTGATGATGATGATGACGATGATGGTACTGATGCTGCTGATGATGATGATGGTTGTGGCGGTTGCGGTGGTGGTGGCGACTGTGGTGGTGGTGATAGTGGTGGGGATACTGATGTTGATTATGGTGCTGCTGCTGCTGCTGCTGCTGCTATTGATGCTGATGTTGATGCTGCTGCTGATGATGCTGATGATGATGGTGATGATGATGATGCTGGTGATGATGATGATTATGATGATGATGATGATGATGATGATGATGATGATGATGATGATGACGATGGTGATGACGAGGATGCTGATGATGAGGATGATGATGCTAGTGGTGTGGAGGGGGAGGACGAGGAAGAGGAGAAAGAGGAGGAGGCTGAGGAGGAGGAGGACGAGGAGGAGGAGGAGGGGGATGGCCTTCGGGCAGCGAGGACGGGGGGACGAGAAGGACGATGATGATGATGATGATGATGATGATGACGAGGAGGAGGAGGAGGAGGAGGAGGAGGAGGAGGAGGAGGAGGAGAGGTGGATTAGAAGGAGAAGGGTATCCGGAGGGGGAGGACAATGACGAGGGTAGGGGAAGAGGGATAGGGGGTACGCAGATGGGTGAGGACGAGTAGAAGAAGACGGGAGAAGGCAGATTGATGAAAGTGGGGACACGGAGAGAGAAGATCGGAAGGACGAATTGAAATTCTAGACGTTTCGCGTATCCCCACCAGCCCGTCCAGAAACGACGCCCAGGCGAGTAGAGGGTCGTCCTGAGGGGCTTTTCGGCGTCTTGGGTGCCTCGGGGGGGCCTCTTTGGGCCGTTTGGGATCCTCTTGGGGGCCTCCTGGGGGCCTCTTGGGGCCATCTTGGGGCCATCTTGGGGCCTCTTGGTGCCTCCTGGGCGCTTCTTGGGGCCATCTTGGAGGAAATCGATCAAAGAAGAGGGGAGCTTCAATTAGTGCTGCCCCCTCTGGGGGCCAAAATGGGGCCAAAACCTTAGTAAAATCAATGATTTTGGCTTCCTCGGCGAGGCCGTTTTGGACGCTCTGACCGCTCCCCGCCCCCCCTGTCCAGGTCAGTGGGGAGGGGGTAGGGGGAGGGGTAAACCCCTCCCCGAAGGGGAAGAAGGAGGGGTGGAAGAGGAAACGCTCTAAACCACCGACGCCCAGAGGGCTGGTGGGATTTATGTTGGCGAAGGACCCAACCAGATGTAGTTGTGAGTGCCGTCATTGCGTGTATCGCCTTTGGGGGATCTCCTGCTGGGGCCATGAAAGATGCGACGGGTGTGCCGATACGGGGCGCGGCCGTTCCGTGGGCGTTGCCATTGGCGCTTTAGGTGGAGCCCGCTACATGACCGCGAAACGTCTAAGGGATGCGCCGCAATGGAACGAGGCAGCCACTGGGGCCTTCAGTGGAGCTCCCCATGGGGCCACCAAGCGCTATTCTTGGTGGGGGAGCCGCATGTGAGTGCAGCCACTGGGGCCTTCGGTGGAGCTCCCCATGGGGCCACGAAACGCTGTACTGGGTGGGGGAACCGCATGCGCATGCAGCCACGGGGGCCTGCGGTGGAGCTCCTCATGGGGGGCACGAAACGCTGTACTGGGCGGGGGAAATCGCGTGCGAGTACAGCCACTGGTGCATTCGGTGGAGCTCCCTATGGGGCCACCAAGCCTTGTGCTGGGCGGGGGAGACGCATGCGAGAGCAGCCGCTGGGGCCTTCAGTGGAGCTCCCCATGGGGCCACGAAACGCTGTACTGGGCGGGGGTCCCGCATGTGAGAGCAGCCACTGGGGGGGCCTTCGGTGGAGCTCCCGATGGGGCCACGAAACGTTGCATGGGTGGGGGAACCGCGCGAGATTGCAGCCACTGTGGCTTTCGGTGGAGCTTCCTATGGGGCTACCAAGCCTTGTGCTGGGCGGGGAAGACGCATGCGAGAGCAGCGAGTGCAGCCACTGGGGCTTTCGGTGGAGCTCCTCATAGGGCCACGAAATGCTGTACCTGGCGGGGATCCCGCATGCGAGAGCAGCCACTGGGCCTTCGGTGGAACTCCCTATGGGGCCACGAAACGCTGTGCTGGGTGGGGGAACCGCGCGCGAGTGCAGCCACGGGAGCCCCCGGAGGAGCTCCCCATGGGACCACGAGGCGCTGCATTGGGTGGGGGATCTACATGGACGAGGATTGGGTGGAAACGGTGGACGGGGAGGATGACAAGGAGTGAGGACGACTAAATGTAGGAGGGCCTTCTCCTCGTCCCTTCTCCCTTCAACACACCCCAATTACGCCCCCTCGTCATCCCTTCCTCTCTCCCCCCCTTTATCATCTGTCCTCCGTTCTCTCCCTCCTAGTCCCCCGTCCTTCTGGGGACAGGGGGGAGGAAGGCTGGGCTTCGGGGACAGGGTCCCTTCAACAGGGGAGTCGGAGCGAGATGCGCGGGTGGGGCGACGGGGGGCAGGAGCCCCGCGGAGTCACTTCTTGATCCTGCGCCTGCGTAGAGTCCTGCCGCCCGTGCGCCTTGCGACCCCATGCCTTCACAAAAGCATCGCCCTCCCACCCCAGGCGCGCTGACGTCCCGGCTTCATCCGCGGTTCCCCGAGATGATCGGGATTGAGCTGGACCAGCGCGCCTTGAAAGTGCTGGCGCACAAGGTGCCCCCCTTGCCTCGTTGGGCTGACCTCAGAGAAGGAACAGTTACCCATACCTCTACCCTTCCCTCGGTTTTCCCTTTCCGGGCCTCCTGGGAGTTCCTCGTCGCCACCGCTGGATTTGCTTTGAAATTCTGGTCAGAACGCACCCCGGGAGAGGTCCAGGTAGTAGCGGTATTGGTACCCTTCGGTTTCCCCATGACCGCCAGACTTCATTGCCGACGACGCGCGCTCCCGAGTCAACTCATCCTCCGAATTGACTCCTCTTCGGCGACTTTGCCGGCGACTCCCCCCCCCCCGTTCTTCCAGCCTGGAGCGCAGGAGAGCCGTGCCCAGCCGCAGAGCGGGAGCCCCCCGCCCCCCCGCCCAGACGCAGGATGGGGGGGGCAGCAGGAGGTTTCGTCCCCCGCTGTAGAATAGTAAGTCGGGCGTGTCCCTCTACAGGAGGAATAAAGATGGTCAAACAATAGTCAGGGGACGGCTGTTCCAGGATCTGTTGACTATGTTGGAGCATGGTTTTACTATTTGTTGTTCTTCCTCCAAAATCAGCCTGCAGGGGGACATGCCCGACCTAAGGGTAGCAGGAGGGGTTATCCCCCCCTGGAGGATGGCCGCCTCGCCTGCTGCCATCCGCCCAACCGCCGCATGAGTAGCACCCGAGTCTCAGCATGGGCAGGGGCCGACAACGGCAACCATTGCGGGCAAGACTTGAGTCCATCTCCACTGCAGCTTGGAGTTCCGGGCTCCCTTCCAAACAAAGAACCCCGAGGCGCACTGGATATGGATGTGAATCTGGCCCCTGTGGAGGCTCGTTCTTCTGTCCATATCCAGTGCGCCTCGGCCTTGCGGTGCGCCTTCCAAGAGAGTCCCAGACGTATGTGCTGGATATGCAAATAATGATTGCCCGCAACCATCGGGAACCACTGCAGACGCCAGCCACGTTCGCGACGCCCGCGAGGTGTGCCACGCGTGCCAGCGCACTCCCCATCGACCCCGTCGCACACCGATCCAAAATGATCACAGGGCGCCCGCTCATGGTCCAAAGTTTTGCTGCAACGTGCGCTTTGCATGTGTTTCGGACAGGGAGGGCCGGCCTGCACGCACCCCGGGCAACATGACGGCACCCCCGCCGCCCCCTGCCAGAACAGAACCGAGAGTATTCGCGGGGCGCCCGGATCACTGTCGCTTGTTATCCAACCACTTAAGCACAGGCGGCCCTGCAAAATCAATGGTATTATTGTGTCCTGTGTCTCGCGACCCATGCCTCTTACATCCCTGTGGCAATGTGGCCCTCGGAAGGGTCTTGTGTCCTCTCGCGTGTCCTCTCCAATCAAGTCCGACTTTAACACCCGAGGCTGAGTGCTAGTTGCGCTTCCACGCGTGACCGCGCACATCGGGAATCTTGTCGACACTCCACCACCCCACCGCCCTTCTCACATCACCACGCCAGAGAAAATCCCAATCGGTGAATGGTTTGAAAATCAGTGATGTGGATACGATAGTGGAATCGATAGTGAGGACGTTTGTAAGGTCGATCGTGAGACAGAGTGTGAAGTCGATTCAATGAGATGGATTGTGAGATCACTCGTGCGATTGCTCGTGCGATCTATAACTAGTGAGATCGATTGTGAGATCGATGCTGAGATCGATAATTAGATCGATAGAGAGGTGGGTAATGAGATCGATGGTGAAACCGATCGATAAGAAAACCGACCAGAAACCCGGGAACCCCGCCGCCCACCGAAATCGGCCCAGAACCAGGAACTTGGGAACCCGGAGCACGGAACCTGGGACCCTGGCCGCCCGCCGAAATCGGCCCGCCATTTTCGCCAAACGTTTCAGTTACATTAGGGAAAACCCAATCAGTGGATGGTTTGAAAATTAGTGATCAAGATATTGAGATCGTGTGCGCGATCGATAGTGGAAACGATCGTAAGGACGATTGTAAGGTCGATCGTGAGACCGAGAGTGAAGTCGATTCAATGAGTTCGATAGTCAGATTGATCGTGAGAGCGCTCGTGCAATCTATTATAACTAGTTAGATCGATGCTGAGATCGATAATGAGATCGATTGTGAGATCGGTAGAGAGGTGTATAATGAGATCTATGGTGAAACCGATCGATAAGAAGACCAACCGGGAACCCTGGACCCCGGGAAACCCGCCGCACACCGAAATCGGCCCGGAACCCGGGAACCCAGAACCAGGAACCCGGGAACCCGGCCGCCCACCGAAATCGGCCCGGCATTTTCGCCAAATTTTCCAATATCAGCTAGAACCCTTCAGTGCAAGCATTGATTGGGGAATATCCGCTAGGACCCCTTCACTGCAAGCACTAACTCGGGAAATACAATGCGAAATGGCGGCTGGCTCATCGGCGTGGTGTATGGTGCGTGTGTGTGTGTGTGCACCCGCAATCATTTTGCACTTGTTTTCGCCAGAGATGGTGGACCTGCACCACCACCACCGCTGCCCGCAAACAGAGCGGTGTAATCGCGCCCCCTGCATACGTATATCTGAAGATGCTACTGCAAGGAACATGCTGCAGTGCTCTTCCGTCGGGATCCCGCAAAGGGGTGTGTGAGTTCGATCGGCTTTTGCACCGAACCGCCCAAAACAGATGCCCCCCAGCCGCCGCCAGCTCCCGATAAGTAGTTGTCGATAGGTGGGGCATACGGGGGGCATCTGGTTGCGGCAGTTCGGTGCACCAGCGGATCGAATTCATGCCCCCCATCAGGATCACCCTCCCTTTGGTGGGCCCCGATTCTGTCAGGGGTGGCGGGCCTCCACACCAGGCAGTGTGGTGCACACCGGGCAGAGTGCCTGATGAGCACGCTCGGCACGCCCTTCGCTTCTCAACAGAGGCCGCAGTTCAGAGCATTCGCGAGCGCTCCGTGTTGGCGGAAGTTTGCGGTTTGTGCTGTATCGTCTCGCCTTCCTCCCCCTCCTCTTGCTGCACGATAAGCATGGCGCCAATATCGCAGAGCGGATTTCGTTTAGACAACAATAGGATGGGTCCAGAGAGTGTTGGAGAATTTCGTTCCGGATTTCGAGGTGAATTTCGTGTGGATTTATTTCGGCCAGGCATGAAGATTGCAAACCATCCACGTGAACTTCACTTCGTTCTTCGCTCGCCGTTTCGGGGTTTTGCATTGACAGATATCCACGCCAAAAATACGCTGCAGCACGTCTGCAAGGTCGGTGCAATGACGATCGCATGATTCAATCCAACAGCGATTGCTGGTAGGCCGCCGTGCCCGCGAAGCGGCAATCGGCGCGCGCTCTCGTTTGCCCACGCGCTCCGGCGTGTGGCACTTCTGTTCCGCTCTGTTCTCCCCCCTCCGCCGCCGCCCAGATCAAAAAGCAATGCAAAGTGACGGGGGGGGCCCCCCGCGCATGGTGCAAGGTTTTGCTGCGCGTGCACTTTTGAATCTATTTGTTATATTAGGGATGGCGCCGGGTCGGCGGGATGATTATTGGTCAGCCGCCCGTTGAATGGGGATGGGGGTCTGAATTATTCTTGTAGGTATTCTTATCGAAAAGGCCTGCGGCCTACGGCGAATCACCGCCGCCCCGTGCCTTCTGGAATCGCCCATGCGGTCGAGCGTTGCGGCCAGAGCTCGGCCAGGCTATCGGACTATGTGTTCCTCGAGCCGTTGTGGAAACCCTTCGGGGAGCACGTGGGGGGAGAGAGAAGATGAAGAGAGGGAGGTAAAAGGAGGGAGGAAGAGGAGGAGCAGCAGGCGGCCTCTTGGGAGCCTCCTGGGGCCTCCTGGGATCCTCCTGGGGGCCTCTTTGAGGCTTCTTGGAGGCTTCCTCGGGCCTCTTGGGGGCCTCTGGGGGCTCCTTGGGAAGCTCCTTGGCCGTCTGAGGGCGTTCCTGGACCGCGTGGCGCCGTCGGAAAGCGTCTTGGGGGCTCCTCTGGGCAGTCCTGGGGCGCTTCAGGGCCGTCTTATAGGCTGGGCGTCTTGGAGGTCTCCTGGACTGTCATGAGGCCCTCTTGGGGCCGTCTTGGGGCCTCGTGGGTCGTCAGGGGGGCATCTCGGAGGCCTCGTGGGTGCTCTGTGGGCCATCTTGGTGACCTCTGGGGCCGTCTCAGGCAGTTAACTCTTCGGGGCTCCTTAGAGGTCCTTCTGGAGGCCTCTTTGGCCGCCTTCGAGGCCTCGTGGGCCGTCGTCGGCGATTCTGAGGCCAGCTTGAGCCATCGTGTGAGCATCTCGGCCCATCCTGGGGGCATCTTTGGGGCCAGTTTGGGCTCTCTTGGTGCCCTCTTGGTGCCGTCTTTGAGACCATCTTGGCTGTCTTGAAGGCCATCTTGGGCCCGCCTGGAGCGCGAAGACCGACCTGGGACGCGTATGGACCCTTACTTACAGGACGGAGTGCCGACGGGAAACATTTTTCTTTGTGCCCTTCTGGATGGCTGGCGCATGAGGCCAAAGGCATGCGCGCATAGGGTCGCGATTCTCGGTATGGTTTTACCGATCCCCATCCCCATCTCCATCCCCTTCGAGGCCCCCACCAAATTACCCCCCCCCCCGTTGGGGAGGCACCCCTCGAAACCCGAGGGGAACTGCCTGGATCCCCATCTTAGGGGGACACGTGGGCCAGCGGGGCCCAGGCCACGCCGCTGGGGCTGGTGATCGGTTCAACGATGCTCAGATTCGTTAGCCTTATGTTGTTCCCGTCCTACTTAAGGGCCGCATCCCAGAAATAATTTCGAGCACCCGGAAAAGTGTCAAAAGAGTGCCGAACCAGTGTCGGGCGAGTGTCTCCCAGGGCCCGACACGTGAACACCCTTGAGTTTCGGTATTTTTTGGGGCGCTCGAAGTCCTTCTTGGTGATCAGGGCTGAAGTAGATTGGAACCTCACAACGTTAGCCGGGTTCCTCGATGCTCAGGGTCGTTAGCCGGGAGAACTGCCAAGGGGAGTGCGAGGGGCCTGGCCTCGGCGGGCCCAGAGCTAGTGGCACGAATTGCGGCCCTGCTCTGCCAGCCTCGAACTGATCCCCAGCCCTGAGATTGACACATCAAAAAGCGATGACAATCTTAGGGATGCGCCCTCAGAAAATCAGGGAATCCCTAAGAGCGGCATCGTGGTGAGGAGATGCCCAGCATAGGGATAGGGACATGGTCCAGGCTGGTAAATGCTCGGCCCCAGGCGGCCCGAGTCAGTCCAAAGAGCGCCTCGGAGGGCCCCAAGACGGCCCGAGAGCGCTCAAAGAGGGCCCAGGGTGGCCTCACGACGGACGCTCCAGATGATCCCCAAAAGGACCCTCACGATGGCCCAGAGGGGCCAGAATCATTGATTCTCACAAGGTTGTGCGTTAGATTCCTGTATGACGTGCCGAAGTCTTAACACTAAGAGGGCTGCGAGGCACTGAACAAGCAATCTCGCGCCCTCACAGAGCACGAGCGCTTTCCGCCCACGTGTCGAGCAGGTTGAATGGCCCTCGGTGCATCCCGCCACCGTTCCTGGGCTGTGGTTCAGAGGCCTCTCGGAGGGCTTTTGGGGGCGTATCGGGTGGCCTTTTCGGTGCCTTTGGGGGCGTCTTGGGGGCCTCTTGAGGCGTCCCGGGCCAGCTTCAGACGAATTCTTTGCTTTGTTCCAGGTCGTTTTGGACGGGGTTGTCACCGTCACAGAAGCCCACGCGGAACACCTTGGACGCGCCCGTTAGCGCCCAGCACCGCCCTGGAAACCGTGGTTCCGGGTCTTTCAGAACAAGCCCGCTACTTGTGAAGGATGCATGTGTCTTGGGGTTTCCCCTGCGTGCTGAAGGCACGGCGGCGGAGCATTCTTGATATTATCACCAGGAGGGAGCAGTGATAAAACCTTCCCTGAAAGGGAAGAAGGGGGTTGGAATCACGAGTCTGTGAAACAACCTGCGCCCAGGGGTTGGTGGGACTCTCAGCCCTCGGGCATCCTTTCCCACCGAAAGTGGCGCGCTTCCCAAGATCGCGGGCGGGAGGGGCAGAGCGACGAGGTCTGGTGGTCGATGGTGTCTCGATCGAGTTGTTTGTTGGATGCAGGGGCCCAGTATGATGTCACATGTAGTGCGGTCCAGTCGTTCGTGGGGGCCGATTCCCACAAGTTGTAGATGGTGGCCGCCGAGCTGTTGCGATGCCAGGAGGTGGGAGGCCAATCAGCGCGGAGAGATCGCAGCATCGATCGAGAGCACCCGAACGACTCGCTTAGGAGGGGTGCGAACGGAGGGGAGAGCGTCGCTCGGGAAGCGCCGCGGGCCCGGCAGGTGCCTGGCATGACATGCATCCGCTCGGACCTGCTGCTGGCTCGCGGGGCCGCCAGAAACGCTCCTGCTCTGCTGCTGAGGGTCGGAGGAGCAGGAGAAAGAGGAGGGCACAGAGCCAGGACCCTGGAGAAGGGGAGCCCGGTGTTTCGTCATTTGGCCCCGCAGCCCCAAACACTGGCCGGAATCGCTAAACCCGATCTGCCGTACCTGGTGTTGCTTCGGGCGCCCGAGAGGAGGGCATTGGATTCGTCGTCTCGCAGCCGTGCTGTGCCACATGGGGGTGGCAAGCATGCACCGACACCGAGCCTGAGGCTAACCTGGAGCCAGGATCAACGTGCATTCCTACGTGTGTATATTCCTCGTCCTCTTGCTCCGACTCCTTTTGCAGAGGAGCACCAAGCCTGCGACCCAGGATTGGACTGTCCAAATTTGGTGACGATGCATCGTCGACTAAAGGAGGAGGAGGAGGAGGAGGAGGAGGAAGAGGAGGAGGAGGAGGAGGAGGAGGAGCAGGAGGAGGAGGAGGAGGAGGAGAAGGAGGAGGAGGAGGAGGAGGGGGAGGAGATAGAGGAAGGGACGAAGGAGGAGGGGGAGGACGGGGAGGAAGAGCATGAGGAGGTGGAGGAGAAAAGTTTGCAACATTTGTCGCGGGGTCTCGAGGTTGGAGGTTCCCGCTGCATGCGACAATTATCAATGGGGCCGCCCAGTCGCATAGCCTCACCCCCCTGTCGAGGACTCTTCTTTGCTCCCATCAGAGCTTCCGTGTGCGTGCGAGGATCGCCCCATGCCTCCCACGAGCAAGAGCAATGACTCCGTGCATTAGCCGTGGAGTCTCCAGACGTGGACGTGCAGCATCAAACGCTGCAAGTTGGCGAACAATTTTCTGACGCAAGACCTGGTACTGCTGCGGTGCTCCAGAGCCGCCCATGCCTGAAGAGAAGGAACCCAATCCCCTATCGGGCGCGTGGGCGCGTAGACTGCCTGGCAATGGTGCTGGTGCTGCTGATAAGCTCGGCGACGCACAGCAGTATGTTTTCCTACCCTTGGGCGACGACCAGTTTGAAGTTTTGTCCAGGTGTTGAGAGGATCGTTCTAAATTTGAGGCCAAGGCGCAGGTAGCAGCCAAGCATGCGGCTAAATCCTTCATCTGAGTCGGCGGCGCGGACGGCGACAACGGTGAAGTTGGTGGAAAAGTTTTGCCCCAAGGCCAAGGTGACTTTGCCGTTCTTCTACGCGTTCAGTTCGCAGCATTAGGATGCGCGGGAGGTGTGCTCACTGGCTTCGGCAGACCCATCAACCAGCGGGGCGCTCACATCGCGGCGAGCAAGGCTGCGGCAACGGCTGCGACGACCAGAGCTGCAGTTACTCTCCCTCGTGTAAGCATCAGCCTCAACCCGCACATGCCCCAGCCCGCGCTGCTCATTTTGTGCAGCGAGACATCGACATGGTGGACCTCGCCGTCGCCGGCTTCGACGGCGACTGGATCGAGTATGTATTGGCGAGCGGAACCGACCAAGGCGCTGAAGGTACAGGAGGTGAAGGAGATAGCGACGAAGGAGACAGCGACGGATCCGCGGCGGCCCCACGTCACAGCCAGGGCATCTCGTGCTTAGCTTCCCAGGCGGCCCTGCAGGAGGCGCTTGAGCATGCCAATAAGCAGAAAAAAGGAGGCGCGAGGGTAGCAACCCTAGCGTGCCAAGCAAGCGTAGCGCCCCGCGTGCCTGGACTCCTGCAACTTGCAACACAGCACCAGTGTACACCATTATTTCTGCGTGCGTTGCAGTGCCTGTGTACACCACGGTGCCTGTGTGCACCACAGCAACCGTGTGCAACACAGCGCCACACTTGCATATCGAATGCTAGAAGGAATCCGTATGACAAACATGGAGCGCTTGTGGATTCCACCACAAAAATAGAAAAGGAATCCGTATGGACAAAGAAGCGCCGCTGGAATCTACGAGCTCCCCCGAGTCCGCCCGCATCACCCTAACTTTCTCCATTTGCGTCCAGGAGGCTCCAGCGAAATTGGCCGTGCGAGAACCAAGTGGACCGATACAATAGACCATTATGCGGTGCACTGCGCGCTGAATTGCGCACGTGCGCTGTAGCGCCGCCCCGCACGACAGGCGGTGAGGAGGAGGAGAAGGAGGAGGAGGAGCAGGAGGATCAGGAGGAGGAGGAGGAAAAGGAGGAGGAGGAGGAGGAGGAGGAAGAGGAGGAGGAGGATGATGAGGTGGAGGTGGAGGTGGAGGTGGAGGAGGAGGGAAGAGGGACGAACGCCGCATTCGATTATCAACGCTGTCCTGCACGCAGGCACTGGTGTACAGTCGCGTTGCGTTGCGCGCGGGTGCTGTGGTGTAGACAGGCGTTGTGGCGTGCACAGGCGCTGCGGTGCACGCAAGCATTGTGGTGTACACAGACACTCTGTTGCACATGGTTGCTGCGGTGTACACATGTACACCGGCGCTGTAGTGTACGCGCGCACTGTGGTGTACACAGGCGCTGCGTTGCACACAGTTCTTGCGGTGTACGCAGGTGTTGTGGTGTTCGCGCGCGTTGTGGTGCACGCGAGCGATGTGTACAATGGGGCAGTGGGGCATATCGCCACCTACATGTTGTTCGCGTCGTCCTCGTCGTCGTCGTCGTCGCTCGTCGCTCGTCGCTCGTCGCGTCGTGCGCGCGGGCGCGGCTGTGGTGCTGGAGCCACACGGCGGGGGGGGGGGGGCGTTACGTCATCCCCCCCCGCATGACGCCCGTCATCGCCGAGCATAAAGAAACGCTATAACACTACCCTGCAATATGAGATGCACATACGGCTCATATGGCTAGATGTTCATTTACATATCAAAAATACCATATCAGTTCTTAAACAAGAATGCACATATGGGGAACTCCACGCAGTGACTACTGTTTGGCTCTTTGGAGGGGTCCTTGCTGGAGACGTGATCGTGGCTAGCATTAACCTCCGCGGTAGTATTGGTTTGGATCTTCAGAAGTGGACCATCCCGTTCAAGATATGCAGCGTGCTGAAGTCTGTCGGTTTGCCGCTCATATAGTGCGGAAAGTTGCATTGCGAACCCAGGGTTTTAGCTTACGCCGCGCCGCCGACCCCCAGAGGGACTGGCAGGTGTTGCGCGTTGCTCCTGAGGGCCTATTGTGCGCCTGTGGGGGGCTTTTTGGAGCTCTCTCGGGGTTTCATGGGGGCATATTGGGAACCTTTTCGGGGTCTCTTTGTTTGGTGCTCTCAGTATTTGCCGCGCGCATGGGGGGGCGGGCGAGAATCCGCGTGCGCCGACGGCGGGCATCTGTTGAGTTTTTGCGTCCGCGGCTAGGCGGGGTCGTCTGCACAGGCGGAAGAACGTAACTAAACGGGGACACCGCTGCAGCCAATTGACCAACGTGCAAGAGGGGGGAGGAAGGATGAGCGGGCGGCCGCGGGGAGGGGGGAAAGGCGAGGGCCGCTCACGGGGGGGCGGGCCACTCCAGAGCGGCAGGCGCGGCCAGCCCGCCGGCGGGGGCAGACGCGGCTACTGCGCCGGGGTCTCGGCGGCGGCGGGCCCAGCACGGGCGCCAGAGCGAGCGCGGCAAGCCGAGTATCACGAAACCGCCGAGGAACATGGGGCGCAAGGCGGCGGGCCGCGCGTCGCCCAGGCGGGCGCGCGGAAGGCGCGGCAAGTAGAGGAACGCCAAAGGGGGGCGCATCCAACAGATTGTTGAGCCAACGCGGGGCGGCGGGCGGCAAGACTGGGCCCCGGTCCCCAGCGCGGCGGTTGCGGGCAGCAGCGCAGCGCCGTCGCGGCGCGCGGGGGGAGGGGGAGCGGGCGGGGAAGGGATGAAGCGAACAGGGAAAAGGACGCCCCGCCTTCAGGGGGCCCCCCTGGCGGGGCGGCGACGCCAGGCCGCACCGGCGGCGGCAGGCGGCGCCGCGCGCTGCGCTGCGGGGCGGAAAGGCGGCGCCTGCCGGTCAGCAAGCGAGCGGCTCGCGAGAGGCCGTCGTTGCCCGGGCGGCCAGGGCGGGCCAAACGGCGAGCCAGGGCGGTCGATGGCAGCCGGGGGTCGAGAGCGGCGCCCAGTGCCAAAATTGTTGCAGGGCATCTGTCAAAACACCCGACGAATGAGTATCGAATGGCCATCGGCACATCCCATCACCGCGCTTGCGTTGCGGGTACGAAACCATTCGCATGTCTGGTTGGGTCTCGTGGAAGACGTTTCGATGGCGTCTTGGAAGCAGTTTTTGAACCTCTGGGGGGCCTCCTGGGAGCCCTTTGTGTGTGTGTGTGTGTGTGCGCGTGCGTGCGTGCGTGCGTGCGTGCGTGCGTGCGTGCGTGCGTGCGTGCGTGCGTGCGTGCGTGCGTGCGTGCGTGCGTGCGTGCGTGCGTGCGTGCGTGCGTGCGTGCGTGCGTGCGTGCGTGCGTGCGTGCGTGCGTGCGTGCGTGCGTGCGTGCGTGCGTGCGTGCGTGCGTGCGTGCGTGCGTGCGTGCGTGCGTGCGTGCGTGCGTGCGTGCGTGCGTGCGTGCGTGTGCGTGCGCGCGTGCGCGCGTGCGCGCGTGCGCGTGTGCGTGTGTGTGCGTGTGTGCGCGTGTGTGCGCGAGTGTGTGTGAATGTGAGAGAGAGAGAGAGAGAGAAAAAAAAAAACAAAAAAATGAGTGTGTGTGTGTGTGTTTGTGTGTGTGCGTGTGTGTGTGTGTGTGTGTGCGCGCGTGTGCGTGAGCGATTGCGTTTGCGCGGCCATCCTGGGGTTCCCTGGGGGCGGGGTGGGAGACTCGGAGTGTCCGTTCGGGTTTCCCCTTTGGGCCTTCTGTTGGGGCTGTCTCGGGGCCCTCCAGGGCCGTTTCGGGAGCTTTCTGGGCCGTCTTGGGGCCTTTTTTGGATCGTCTCGGAGCCCTCTCGCGGGCCTCTTTGGCCCGTCTTGACCGACCCCAAGGACCGTCCTCCCTCCGTCCTTCCTCCTACTTGTTTTGCGCGTTTGTCTCGCGTTGCATGTTGTCCAGACGCGCCAGATTCCGGAAGGCACGGCCTCGCCCACCTCGTTTGGAGTA